CCTCCTCCTCCTCCTCCTCCTCCTTGTGTGGTTATTTTCGCATTCGCTTTCGGTCGAAAAATATTCTTTGTTAAAGTCTTCGCTTGAAGTGCAGGTTTGTTACTCCAATGCAAAAGTAGATCCTTTGAAGTGATGGACTTTGTTCATCATATGGTTAAATAAAATGTGATTTGTGGACCCTCCATTCTAATGTCTTTTTTCATCATCAGGTGGGGCGTTTTATTTTGATTTTGTTCTCTGACTTTGAGTATTGACTTTTCGACTTAGGAGTGGCAGTAGTGCCATTGTTATTACTGCTATTATATCGTGAAGTGAAAGATAACAGAGGGATCATTGTGACCTTGACCCGTACTCGCTGTGACCATTACTTGTGCTCGTGACTCGCACTTTGACCTTTGCGAGTGTACTGCAGATTCGTTCAAATTATATGGATTCTATTCGAAATTCAAAACATCGTCAGCTGGATACTTGAAAGTGGAAAGACAATGGAACCCAGTGCCATCATGCTAGTGTTTTACGCGATAAGCCACCGTGACCTTGACCCCTGTCGCCTTCGTCCGACCCCGGGTGGTGACCTTGACCTGCACTAGTGCCTTAAACGGACCTTGACCTTTTTTTCCCCCTTAATATTTTGTGGCGTGACATGCAGAGTTTGAGCAAGATGAAATTTTTCACCAGATTGTTGGAGAAGTCCCAGTCGGAGCCCGAGCTGCAGGAGGAGGGGAAGAGGTTTGTCTTCTCCGTCACCGATCTCCTGGAGAAACTGCTGGACTATAGGTGGGTGCCTTTTCTTTTGCTGGTGGTGTTGGCATTGTTGTTGTTGTTGTTAGTGGTGGTCTTGTTGTTATTGTTGTTGTTGTTATTGGTGGTGTTTTTGTTTTTGGTGGTGGTATTGCTGTTTATTTGGGTTTTGTGGTGGTGGTGATATTGTTTTTTATGTGGTTGTTGTAGTTATTATTGCTGTTGTTGTTACCCGTTGTTATTGTTGTTGTTGTTACCTGTTGTTATTGCTGTTGTTGTTGTTTTTGTTGTTGTTGTTGGTGGTGGTGGTGGTGGTGGTGTTCATTTGGGTATGAAGAAGCTGCTCGTATTATGTACTGTTACTGTTGTTGCTGGTGTGGGAGCTGCCACCACCACAGCCACCACCGCTGCTGTTGCTGTTTCTGCTGCTGTCGCTGATTCTCTCACTGCTGCTGTTGCTTTGTCTTCTGTGTCGTCACACGTCAGCTGGAGAAGCTGTTGTTGTTGTTTATTTGGGTATGGAGAAGTTGCTCTTATTATCTTTGTACTGTTGCTGTTGTTGCTGCCTGTTGTACTTTTTGTTATAGTTGCTG